GTCCGGACACTAGTTTTATGACCAAAAAATTATAATTTTTCAAAATTTTTTATTTTATTTTTTTTTATTTTATATTTTGTTTTTTTTTTTTTTTTGTTTTTTTTGTTTTTTTTTTTTTTTTTTTGAATACTGTCACCCTAGCAGTACAGTACCATGGTGACACTGCACAACTTGTGTGGGGGGTGATGAAGATTTTTTTTGTTACAACTGATTGCTTTTTTTACACCCATTAAGGCTGTTAAAGGAATCATTTTTTCTCCTTCATCAGTTGCCCTTCTATCTCTGGCTGCATGCATGCTTGCAGCCATTGAGAAATACTCAGCTTGTCACATGGTACAAGGCTGCTGTGAATAGCTCTGTACCATGTGACCTCTGTGATCATTCACAGATTTCATACGTAGTAAGCAATGATGTCAGAAGTGACATCTTGATTACTACTCTGCATGTGATTCACTGATTGGCCAATCACTGATTTCACATGATCGGGACCTCCTCGCACAGAGGTCCCAACAGTGATCGGTTTTCTACTGTGTCCCTCCGGACTGCGGTGTGCTGCGCGCTCCCAGGGATTGCGCACAAGCAGAGAGCGGGGAGGCCGTTTTTAATGCATGGTATCAATGAAATCCTTTTATGACCCACTTGAGGACGGGAAGTGTGCATTAAAATGCCTTTACAGGTGACCACTTGAGATGTACAGAGGAGGTCTGGTGCTGGAATTGCTACCTGTGATTGGACGGCGATACCTCACGTGTGGGACAGTCGCTGTTTGCATGTGTGCGGGACTGACGCGTGCGTCGACTTTGCGTGCGAGCACAGGGGGGAACCGGGGTCTTTATTTTTTTTTTTTTTTTTTGTTTAGCACTTTTTATTGCTCTCATAAGGAATGTAAACATGTAGACACGTGACAGGTACTCTGTCCACCGGCTCAAAAAAAAAAAAAAGATACCGGGGGTTCCGCCTAAAGGTGACGTAACACCAGCCCCCCACCCCCGATTCCCACTGTTACTTGCCTCCCGTGGTCCTGAGCTGTGCTCCCCGCAAGCCGCTCCATCGGTCCAGGGATTTGAAATCCCTGCTGCGTCTCTCCTCTTTGTCCAGCGCTGCCAGGACAGACCAGACATATTCTAATTGGTCAGCACTGTCACATGGATCGCTCTGACCAATCAGAATCTGTCTTTGCAGCGCTGGGCTGTGAGGAGAGGACGCAGCGAAGATTTCAAATCCCTGGACCGACTGAGCGCCTTGCGGGAGCACTGACCGCTCCGGACCACGAGAGGGAAGTACAGCGGGGACTTGGGCAGCGTAGAAGGTGCATAATCTGTGTCTCTGCCGCTGGCATACTGGGCACAGCCGCTGTCACCCGGACTGAATACATCTCGGAGAGCGCTGATCACCGAGTGCAGGTTTATTGGACTCTGAGACAACATTCTTCACCGATCCCCATATTAATCAGCAGAATTAAAATATTATTGAAGGAGACAGTACTGCACTTGTGGCCCCCCAGTATGTAGGAGGACCCCGCCACGTCGTCGCTGATGGAGTTTGGATAACGACGTCAGGTTTGTACTACAGCAACCATGGTAAGGCACAGTATGGAGTGGAGGTCATGGGACCTGCGCCTGCTGCAGATTGTTCCCACCCCGAGGAACAAATCGGCTTTTGTTTGGCCTCTTCTGATTGGCTGCAGACAGAAAACCTCAGGCTTGATACATGTGATCACCATTATGTGGGAGGAGCATTTCTCTATCTGTTCTAAACTTTAGAGGAAGTTTTTTCCCCGCACACAGCGGGCTTCCTGTTTTATGATGGACGGGTTCTCAGGTTCTCCCCTTCCTGTGACTGATGACAGTATTACCCTGATCTCGTCTACATCGTACACGCAGGGGCATTGTGACCCGTCCTGATGGCGCGGCAGTTCTCACGGTGAACTGTCTCGGTGATTGGCACAGATCCGGTGAATGTGAGACGAGGTGGCTCCCTCCACCTGTAAGTGGCACCAGGACACTGAATAATTCACAGAGAACTCGGCTTCCTTTTTCCATTCGTGTCCGGCCGGTGTCTTCTCCCCTGGCAGCAGGTACACTGTGATCATATATATCATACACTGCATTCCTGGCCCTCTATTGAACCCCCGGCCACCCCTTTCTGCTATGGTACCCTAATCCCCCTCTATTGTGCCCCACCCCGGAACTGGACTCCAGTCCCTCTATGTCCCTTTATTGTAAACCCCCCCCCCCCCCCCCCCCCCCGCCATTCTACTTCTCTATACCCCATTCCACTTTCTGCCCTTCCGTTTTTTTTTTTATTTACCCCCAATCTCCCTCATCCATGTATTGTAATCCAATCTGTTCCTTTATTATTCCCTCTTCATATGATTGTACCCCAGCCCCCCCCCCCCCCCCCTCTTTTTACTGTTGCACCCCAATATCTCCCCCCTCATCCTGCTATTGTAAACCAATCCCCCCTCGGCCCCTTGTGCTCCAATCTTCCTCATCCCACTGTTGTACCTCCAGTCTTTCCTTTGTCCCTCTATTGTACTCCTGTCACCCTCATCCTAGTATTGTACCCCAATCTTTTCCTTTATTATTCCCTCCAACCTAGTACCCCAGTCCCCCTTTTCCTTTGTTCCACTATTGTACCTCAACATCTCACCCACTTCCTGCTTCTATCCCCCAAATCCCCCTCTGTCCTTTCTGTTGTGCCCCAAATATCCATATTATGCTGTTATACTCTAATCCCTCCTCTGTCCATCTATTGTACCCCAATCCTCCCTCTGTCCCTCTATTATTCCCCGATCCCCCCTCTGTCCATCTATTGTACCCCAATCTTCTTCATCCCACTGTTATACCTCCAGTCTTCCCTCTGTCCCACTATTGTATCTCAATCCCCCTCTGTACCTCTATTGTACCCCAATCCCCCCTTCTGTCCATTTATTGTACCCCAATCTTCTTCATCCCACTATTATACCTCCAGTCTTTCTTCTGTCCCTCTATTGTACCTCAATCCCCCCTCTGTTCCTCTATTGTACCCCAATCCCCCCTTCTGTCCCTTTATTGTACCCCAATCTTCTTCATCCCACTATTATACCTCCAGTCTTTCCTCTGTCCATCTATTTTACCCCAATCCTCTCTGTTATATCCCAATCTTCCCTCTGTCCCTCTATTGTACCTCAATCCCCCCTCTGTCCATCTATTGTACCCCGATCCCCCCTCTGTCCCTCTATTGTACCCCAATCCCTCCTCTGTCCATCTATTGTACCCCAATCCCACCCTTTGTCCATCTATTGTACACCAATCTTCTTCATCCCACTACTGTATCTCAATCCCCCCTCTGTCCCACTATTGTACCCCAATCCCTCCTTCCGTACATTTATTGTACCCCAATCTTCTTCATCCCAGTATTGTACCTCCAGTCTTTCCTCTGTTCCACTATTGTACCCCAATCCCCCCTCTGTCCCACTATTGTACCCCAGTCCCCCCTTCTGTACATTTATTGTACCCCAATCTTCTTCATCCCATTTTTGTATTTCCAGTCTTTCCTCTGTCCCACTATTGTATCTCAATCCCCCTTCTATACCTCTGTTGTATCCCAATCCCCCCTTCCGTCCATTAATTGTACCCCAATCTTCTTCATCCCACTATTGTACCTCCAGTCTTTCCCCTGTCCCACTATTGTACTTCAATCCCCCCTCTGTCCCTCTATTGTACCCCAATTCCCCCTCTGTCCCTCTATTGTACCCCAATCCTCTCTCTGTTATATCTCAATCCTCCCTCTGTCCCTCTATTGTACCCAAATTCCCCCTCTGTCCCTCTATTATTCCCCGATCCCCCCTCTGTCCCTCTATTGTACCCCAATCCTCCCTCTGTCCCTCTATTATTCCCCGATCCCCCCTCTGTCCATCTATAGTGCCCCAATCTTATTTATCCAACTGTTGTTCCTCCAGTCTTCCCTTTGTCCCACTATTGTACCCCAATCCTCCCTCTGTCCCTCTATTGTACCCCAACCCTCCCTCTATTATTCCCTGATCCCCCTCTGTCCAGCTATAGTGCCCCAATCTTCTTCATCCCACTATTGTACCTCCAGTCTTTCCCCTGTCCCACTATTGTACTTCAATCCCCCCTCTGTCCCTCTATTGTACCCAAATTCCCCCTCTGTCCCTCTATTGTACCCAAATTCCCCCTCTGTCCCTCTATTGTACCCAAATTCCCCCTCTGTCCCTCTATTGTACCCAAATTCCCCCTCTGTCCCTCTATTGTACCCAAATTCCCCCTCTGTCCCTCTATTGTACCCCAATCCTCCCTCTGTCCCTCTATTATTCCCCGATCCCCCATCTGTCCATCTATAATGCCCCAATCTTATTTATCCAACTGTTGTTCCTCCAGTCTTCCCTTTTGTACCCCAATCCTCCCTCTGTCCCTCTATTGTACCCCAATCCTCCCTCTACTATTCCCTGATCCCCCTCTGTCCAGCTATAGTGCCCCAATCTTATTTATCCCACTGTTGTTCCTCCAGTCTTCCCTCTGTCCCACTAGTGTACCTCAATCCCCCCTCTGTACCTCTATTGTACCCCAGTCCCCCCTTGGTTCCTTTTTTATACCCCATTCGTCCCGTTCTTGTACCCCAGTGTTCCTCATCCCACTACTATACCCCGGTCTTCCCACTGTGTCTGTTGTACCCCAATTTCCCCTCTGACCTTTTGTTATACCTTCAATATGTCTCCTCTCACTATTGTACCTCCATTCTTCCCTTTGTCCATCTATTGTACTGCAATCCCTTTCTGTCCCTTTATTGTACCTCCAGCCTTCCCTCTGTTCCTGTATTGTACCCCAATCACCCTGCTGTCCTTTCTGTTGTCCCCTCAGCCCCCTCTCTGTCCCAGTCACTCCAGTACACCTTTTCCTCTACTGGTGTCCTCCATGCTGGGATTGGGTTCCTAGAAGCAGTCGTGTGATTGGTTTGTTGTAATTTGGTAATGTTGGTTTGGGTCTTATACTCATGAGCAGGGGCGGACTGACAACTCATGGGGCCCCCGGGCAATAGGGGATCATGGGGCCCCTGTATCCTTGCCCAAACTCAAACCACACCCAAAAATGCCTATGAAAGGTACCAGGAGCATCTCATGGGTCCCCCTACTGACCCCGGGCCCTCGGGCAGTGCCCGAGTTCCCAAGTGGTCAGTTCGCCCCTGCTCGTGAGGCATTACTGGCCCGGTTCATTCTTCTATATGAAATGCTGGGAGAGGATTAAGGTGGGCCACGGCTCCCCCTACTGTAGCAGAACTGTCCCCACGATGCTGTTCTTGGACTTGTAGTTCCTCAGCGAGTAGAAGTCTGCAGGTTCCTGGAGCCGTATGTCTTCAGTGTGTAGATTGCCTTCCTCGCAGCACGTCTGTCATTGTCACCCGGCCGGCGGTCACACACATGCTGCGTCATATAAACATTGTCCTGCTGATGATCTCTTTTGCGTTTGCTGTGGCGAGAAGTTCAGTCATGTGACCACAGAGCACAGAAAACCATTCCCAGCTGTTCTGCTGATAGGGCGCTCTGTGGGCGATGTGTACAATAGTCTCCTGCAGTATTCTGCGGGTGTGTACAGGGTTAAACCTCCTTCCTCCTGGAAAGGTTCAGTTTTGTGCCCCCGTCACTCCATTTTTCTCAGCAATGCGTCCTCTGCCGCCATCTCCTCTTATCTGTGCCAACATAATTAATTTAGTAGTCAAATGAACTGCCACTGCTGACCTCTTATTGTGAAAATGCTAGTTGCCTGGCTACATCATGCTTATCCTCTGGCTTCAGTACTTTCTGAGACCCTGACAAAGGGCAAGTAGACAGATCAGGAGTTCTGCCTTCACTTTTTGTATGCTGGTTCCAGGTCAGGGAGTCAGAAGGTACAGAAACCAGGGGATCAACATGGCAAGGTTATAAGCTGTATCCAAATGTGTGTCGTGACTGTACGGAAACACACCAACTAAGGCACATGTATGGTATCCGTCTATATGGCAGAGGTCCACGGGGTTCATCAGTCAGGGAGTCCTAGGCGCATGTCAGTTGTTGGGTGGTAATCTGGGTTTGTTGTGGGAAGTCCTAAATATGGCAATGCGGGTTGAGGGGTTTGAGTGCATGTGGTTGGGGTTTGGCATGGCAGGTTGAGGACTTGTGTGTAGCTGATTTGGGTGGTCTTGGGTCTGGCAGGTCTGGTTGGTGGTGCAGAATTGGAGATCGTTGTACAGCTGCTTCAGGTGGTCACGGGTCTGGTGGAGCAGGTCAGGGATGGCATGCACTCGATCTGGGTGGGCATGGTTCAGGTGTTGCAAGTTGGGGGTTCAGTATACAACTAGTTGAGGTGGTCAGGTTGTGCAGATTGGGGGGTCGGTGTATAGCTAGTTTGGTGGTATGTGGGGGAGGCATGCATTTGGTGCTGGTGGCAATGGGTCAGGTAGTGCATATATAGGGGGGGGTCAGCATACAGTTGGTAGGGGTGGTCATGGTTCAGAGGTGGTATGGACTTGATCCCGAATAGTAATGGGTCTGGCGGCACAGATTGGGGGTAATGTACAGTTGCTAAGGATGGTCATAGATCAGGTGGTGTAGATTGAGGGACAGTATACAACTGGTTTGGGTGTTCGTGGATCAAGTGGTGCAAGTGGGGTGTGGCATGCATGCGGTATGGGTGGTCACAGGTCAGGTGGTACAGATTGGAGGCTCTGTGAACAACTGGTTTGGATGGCCATGGGTCTAGTTGTTCAGGTTGGGTGGGGTTGATGTACAGTTGGTAGAGGTGGTCACAGCTCTGGTGCTGTAGATTGGCAGTGTTGGTGTACAGTTTGATATGGGTAGTCACAGATCAGGTGGTGCAAATTGGAGGGGGGATCAATGTACATTCGATTTGGGTGGTCACGGGTCTGATGAGGCAGGTTGGGGGGTTGATGTCCAGCTGCTAGGGGTGGTCATGGGTCTGGTGGTACAGGTCTGGGGGTCTATATACAGTTGGTAGGGTTTGGCATAGGTCTGGTGGTGCACATTGGGAGGTCCATGTACAGCTGCTTTGGATGGTCACAGGTCTGGTGGTTCAGGTGGGGGGCGCGTGAGAGGGTGGTGGTTTGATGCACAGTTGGTGGGAGTGATCATGGGTCTGGTGGTGCACGTTGGGAAGGGGGGGGGGGGATTGATGTACAGTTGTTGTGGATGGTCATGGGTCTAGCAGTGCAGGTTGGGAAGGGGGGGTGGTTTGATATACAGTTGGTAGGGATGGTCATGGGTCTGGTGGTGCAGGTTGGGAAGGGGGGCGGCAGGGTTTTATGTACAGTTAGTGGGGATAGTCATGGGTCTGGTGGTGCAGGTTGGGAGGGGGGGAGTGATTTGATGTACAGTTGGTGGGGACGGTCATGGGTCTGGTGGTGCAGGTTGGGAAGGGAGGGGGTGGTGGTTTGATGTACAGTTGGTGGGGACGGTCATGGGTCTGGTGGTGCAGGTTGGGAAGGGAGGGGATGGTGGTTTGATGTACAGTTGGTGGGGATGGTCATGGGTCTGGTGGTGCAGGTTGGGAAGGGAGAGGGTGGTGGTTTGATGTACAGTTGGTGGGGATGGTCATGGATCTGGTGGTGCAGGTTGGGAAGGGGGTGGTTTGATGTACAGTTGGTGGGGGTGGTCATGGGTCTAGTGGTGCAGGTTGGGAAGGTGGGGGGGGGGGGGGGGTTGATGTACAGTTGGTGGAGATGGTCATGGGTCTGGTGGTGCAGGTTGGGGGTCAATGTACAGCTGGTTCTGGTGGTCATGGGTCTGGTGGTGCAGGTTGGGGGTCAAAGTACAGCTGGTTCTGGTGGTCACGGGTCAGGTGGTGCAGATTTGTTCTGCTGCGTATCCAGTCTTTCGCCTCTGTACATGGTGAGGTTTCAGCACAGGATGCGTTCTGGTCTCCCATAGTTGATGAAAGATATTTCATGTCTCCCAGAAGCAGCACATTTCCTGCCCCAATAACAGACAGGAAACTGCGGTCCATCTGTGTACTGATCTCCTCCTACATTGTGTCCGGAGACCTGCGGGCTCGTTTCATTCATCTCCCGGGTGAGAGCAATGATATAAAATATTCGTTCTCCTGGTGTGGGGGGATCTGTGGTCCGGTGTTTGGATGGTGGGTGATGGGCGAGCTGTGTGTGAAGGACGATGGTGTCTTATCAGCGGCCTATTATTAGATCCTCCATGTGCTGCTCCGTGTTCTCCCTGCCAGATAATAAATGTACATTCCCAGGCCTGCGATTACACAGAGGTCACCGAGGATGGGGCCCCGCGCTACAGACTCACCGCTGCTCTCCTGCCCTGCATTGCACCTGCCGACAGAGCGCATTTCCTCCGTTACACCTGACCGTGGAGCGCATTTCCTGCATTGCACCTGCCGACAGAGCGCATTTCCTGTTACACCTGACCGTGGAACGCATTTCCTGCATTGCACCTGCAAAGAGAGCGCATTTCTTTCATTACACCTGCGGACAGAGCGCATTTCCTCTGTTACACCTGACAATGGAGCGCAATTCCTGCATTACACCTGCCGATGGAGCATGTTTCCTGCATTACACCTGACAATGGAGCGTTTTTCCTGCATTACACCTGACAATGGAGCTCATTTCCTGCGTTGCACCTGACAATGGAGCTCATTTCCTGCGTTGCACCTGACAATGGAGCATGTTTCCTGCACCTACCAACAGAGTGCATTTCCTCTGTTACACCTGATAAAGGAGCGCAATTCCTGTGTTACACCTGCCAACAGCGCATTTCCATCCGTGACACCTGACAATGGAGCGCATTTCCTGAATTACACCTGACAATGGAGCGCATTTCCTGCATTACACCTGCCAATGGAACGCATTTTCCTGCATTACACCTGCCAATGGAGCGCTTTTTCTGCAATTCACCTGCTGATGAATGACATTTTAATGGGAACGCATTTTCTGCATTACACGTGATCATCGCACGTTTCCTGCACTACACCTGATCATCGCATGTTTCCTGCCTGACACCAGCAGAGTGCGGTTTCAGCATCACACCTGCCGACAGACCGCATGCTTTTGGGTCTTCTGATTACCAACAACAAATGCTTCACAATAAGTTTTGTTTTATATATATATGTCCCGGAAGCCCTGCTTCACACCGGTGCGACTTGTCCTGCGATTCAACACTTTCAATTCACAGGACAGGCCACACCCTTCTGTCTGCAATGGAACTGTTCAAATTGGTGCGACTCCGACTGGGGGAAAAAAAGGTTTCCTGCCACTTGCATAGACATCTGTGCATGAAGTTCGCACAGATGTCAGCCAAATCGCACCTGAAGTTGTGCTGACATGCGGCTTTGAAATCATGCAACTTAAAGTGAAGTTGCACGATTTCAAAGTCAGATTCAGTGTGAGCCGACCGTTATTGAAAAAAATAATTACCCCCCCCCATCCATGTCATGTCCATGGTTTCTGACCGACCCTTGTGTCATGTCCATGGTCTCTGACCGACCCTTGTGTCATGTCCCCGGTTTCTGACCGACCCTTGTGTCATGTCCATGGTCTCTCTGACCGACCCTTGTGTCATGTCCATGATCTGTGGCCGACCCTTGTGTCATGTCCATGGTCTCTGACCAGCCCTTGTGTCATGTCCATGGTCTCTGACCAGCTCTTGTGTCATGTCCATGGTCTCTGACCAGCTGTTGTGTCATGTCCATGGTCTCTGACTAGCTCTTGTGTCATGTCCATGACCAGCCCTTGTATCCAAACCTTTTATCGTGTGCCCGGTCTCTGACCAACCCTTGTATCGTGTCCCTGGTCTCTGACCAACCCTTGTATCCTCTCCCTGGTCTCTGATCAACCCTTGTATCCTGTCCCCGGTCTCTGACCAACCCTTGTATCCTGTCCCCGGTCTCTGACCAACCCTTGTATCCTGTCCCCGGTCTCTGACCAACCCTTGTATCTTGTCCCCGGTCTCTGACCAACCCTTGTATCTTGTCCCCGGTCTCTGACCAACCCTTGTATCTTGTCCCCGGTCTCTGACCAACCCTTGTATCTTGTCCCCGGTCTCTGATCAACCCTTGTATCTTGTCCCCGGTCTCTGATCAACCCTTGTATCATGTCCCCGGTCTCTGACCAACCCTTGTATCATGTCCCCGGTCTCTGACCATCCCTTGTATCATGTCCCCGGTCTCTGACCATCCCTTGTATCATGTCCCCGGTCTCTGACCATCCCTTGTATCATGTCCCCGGTCTCTGACCAACCCTTGTATCATGTCCCCGGTCTTGGCCAACCCTTGTATCATGTCCCCCGGTCTCTGACCAACCCTTGTATCATGTCCCCGGTCTCTGACCAACCCTTGTATCCTGTCCCCGGTCTCTGACCAACCCTTGTATCCTGTCCCCGGTCTCTGACCAACCCTTGTATCCTGTCCCCGGTCTCTGACCAACCCTTGTATCCTGTCCCCGGTCTCTGACCAACCCTTGTATCATGTCCCCGGTCTCTGACCAACCCTTGTATCATGTCCCCGGTCTCTGACCAACCCTTGTATCATGTCCCCGGTCTCTGACCAACCCTTGTATCATGTCCCCGGTCTCTGACCAACCCTTGTATCATGTCCCCGGTCTCTGACCAACCCTTGTATCATGTCCCCGGTCTCTGACCAACCCTTGTATCATGTCCCCGGTCTCTGACCAACCCTTGTATCATGTCCCCGGTCTCTGACCAACCCTTGTATCATGTCCCCGGTCTCTGACCAACCCTTGTATCATGTCCCCGGTCTCTGACCAACCCTTGTATCATGTCCCCGGTCTCTGACCAACCCTTGTATCATGTCCCCGGTCTCTGACCAACCCTTGTATCATGTCCCCGGTCTCTGACCAACCCTTGTATCCTGTCCTTGGTCTCTGACCAACCCTTGTACCATGTTTGCAGCCTCTAACACTGAACATTCACTGAATTTTTATGTGTGCCCCTTTGGTGAAGTTTGTGGCCACACTTAAGGCCCCCCTATCAAGGAAATTAAGCAAACAAAAGTAGCCAGTCCACAATGAACTTTTGGTAAATTCAGTTATCTGAAATCTAAATTTTCTTATTTTTTTTTTTTTTTTTTCCTCCCTTTTTATTTATTTATTTTTTAATTTTTTTAAATTGGCTATCCCTGGCGGTGTACGACAGACGCACGGGAAAGGTGGTAGTGGACCCGATGTGATACGATGGTTAGAGTTCCTGGAAGGACTGGTGGAATCCACAGAGCCGGGTGACCAAAAAGACTCAAAAAATTCATTCAGTAGTTTTTGAGTCTTTTTTTTTTTTTTTTTTTTTTTTTTTTAAATTAAAATTTCTATTATTGTCTGCAGAAGACCACCTTCTCCTTCTAGTGGCCGCTGGTCCCTGTGAAGGGGGGCCGGTGTCCAGGCCATGAGTTTCAGGATGGTCCCCGTCCTGCGGTTACATACTGATATCAGTCAGCTGAGGTCTGGAAAGATGTCAGAATTTCGGGTTGTTCGTGTCGGTGTGCAGCCTTATCGCTCAGCTTTCTCCAGGATTTCTATAAATAGTTTCGGAGGAATCTCTGCGACCCGGGAAGAGAATGCTTCCTAAATGTTCCCTGCCGGAGGGGCTGCCAGAAACTCCTCCTCAATACGGATCTCCAGATCTAGGAGGATCTCATGTCTTACTGGTTTCCAGGAGAGTGGATTTTGTTTCTGTGTGATCGGTTGCAGTTTGGGATCTGATCATGTCACATATCTCCAGTTCCTAAAGCATGTCCCCAACAACTCTGACCCTCTCCTGTAGTATGCCTGCAGTCTCTGACCCTCTCATGTACTAGGTCTGCAGTCTCTGACCCTCTCCTGTACTATGTCTGCAGTCTCTGACCCTCTCCTGTAGTATGTCTGCAGTCTCTGACCTCTCCTGTAGTATGCCTGCAGTCTCTGACCCTCTCCTGTACTATGTCTGCAGTCTCTGACCCTCTCCTGTGGCATGTCTGCAGTCTCTGACCCTCTCCTGTGGCATGTCTGCAGTCTCTGACCCTCTCCTGTGGCATGCCTGCAGTCTCTGACCATCTCCTGTAGCATGTCTGCAGTCTCTGACCATCTCCTGTAGCATGTCTGCAGTCTCTGACCATCTCCTGTAGCATGTCTGCAGTCTCTGACCATCTCCTGTAGCATGTCTGCAGTCTCTGACCATCTCCTGTAGCATGTCTGCAGTCTCTGACCATCTCCTGTAGCATGTCTGCAGTCTCTGACCATCTCCTGTAGCATGTCTGCAGTCTCTGACCATCTCCTGTAGCATGTCTGCAGTCTCTGACCCTCTCCTGTACTGTGTCTGCAGTCTCTGACCCTCTCCTGTACTATGTCTGCAGTCTCTGACCATCTCCTGTACTATGTCTGCAGTCTCTGACCCTCTCCTGTACTATGTCTGCAGTCTCTGACCCTCTCCTGTGGCATGCCTGCAGTCTCTGACCCTCTCCTGTACCATGTCTGCAGTCTCTGGTAATTCCCTGTAGTATGTCTGCAGTCTCTGACCCTCTCCTGTACTATGTCTGCAGTCTCTGGTAATTCCCTGTAGTATGTCTGCAGTCTCTGACCCTCTCCTGTACTATGTCTGCAGTCTCTGGTAATTCCCTGTAGTATGTCTGCAGTCTCTGACCATCTCCTGTACTAAGTCTGCAGTCTCTGACCCTCTCCTGTACTATGTCTGCAGTCCCTGACCATCTCCTGTACTATGTCTGCAGTCTCTGACCCTCTCCTTAGCATGTCTGCAGTCTCTGACCATCTCCTGTGGCATGCCTCCATGCATGGAGTCACATGCTCCTGCACTGTCACATGGAGTCACATGCTCCTGCATACCTGGAAGTACCATGGAGTCGTATGCTCCTGCACTGTCACATGGAGTCATGTGCTCCTGCATACCTGGGAAGTACCATGGAGTCGCATGCTCCTGCACTGTCACATGGTGTTCCATGCTCCTGCATACCTGGAAGTACCATGGAGTTGCATGCTTTTGCACTGTCACATGGCATTTCAACACTTTAGTCACCCCCCCCCCCCCCCCCCCCCGAATCACATGCTCACCTTCTCTTTTCTCCCTTGTTGCTTCTACATACCTAGAAGTACCATGGAGTCACATGCTCCTGCATCCTTCGAGGTACCATGGAGTGGCATGCTCCTGCATTGTTGCATGGAATCGCATCATCCTGCATACTTGGAAGTACCATGGAGTCACATGCTCCTGCACTGTCATAGGTTGTTCCATGATGACTTTAGCCACCCTCCCCAGAACCACATGTTCCTCTTTCCTTTTCTTCCCTTGTGCTTCTCCATGCCCAGAAGTGCCATGGAGGTAAATGCTCATACATTGTTACATGGGTTCTCATCCTCCTGCCTGATTGGAAATACCATGGAGTTACATGCTCCTGCACTGTCACATGGAGTCACATGCTCCTGCATACCTGGAATTACCATGGAGTCGCATGCTCCTGCACTGTCACATGGTGTTCAATGCTCCTGCATACCTGTAAGTACCATGGAGTCGCATGCTCCTGCACTGTCACATGGAGTCACATGCTCCTGCATACCTGGAAGTACCATGGAGTCGCATGCTCCTGCACTGTCACATGGTGTTCAGTGCTCCTGCATACCTGGAAGTACCATGGAGTCGTATGCTCCTGCACTGTCACATGGTGTTCAATGCTCCTGCATACCTGGAAGTACCATGGAGTCATATGCTCCTGCACTGTCACATGGTATTCAATGCTCCTGCATACCCGGAAGTACAGCCCCTCAGTTGAGCGGTGAGGGAGGGAAGGAATGTTGCCTGAATAATGGGAGCAGCAGGGCGTGAAGTGTAGCGGGTTAAAGAAGAGACGTTTCTTCCCCCTGCATGGACAAAGCCTAGGTTTGCTTTGGCTGCCATCCATCCACATGCCAGCAGCCTCTTATGACCAGCCAGGAAGCTCTGTGATCCTAGAAATGTTTTGTATGAAGTTTGGCCGTGTTCCCATTGTGTGGTTATGGCCGTCCACATTGATATGCAGGTGATAAATCTTCCCAGAATCCTCTGTAATAATAGATTATATGAATGCTCATGCCGCTCATTGGGGAGATCAAAGCAGATCGCTGTCGGGTGGAGTTCACAGGGTTCATGGTAAAGCATCTGGCAGGAGAACGGGGTCATTGCATGGGAAGAGAACCTGATCCAGCTCGGAGGTTTCGGGTTTGCAGTTCGCTGGGTTCACTGATGGACAATTAGAGAATTTAAGATGAAATCTAATAGTGGGAAGAGCCTGCAAAGTGCAGAGAGAGAGAGAGAGCGAGAGAGAGAGAGAGAGCGAGAGCGAGAGAGAGCGCTCCATGTATCACAACCGACCTTCACACACTCCGAGGATCACAGTGCCAGTAGATGGGTCACCTGGGCCAGTCTTGCAATGTCTCCCTCCAAGAAAGGGACCGCCATGGCCTTCTCCTCTGAACATGGGGCGTATGGAAGAGGTACAGGGGATGTGTGATGGGGGAATGGATGTGATGGCTTTGGTCTGTGAATGGATGTGATGGCTTTGGTCTGTGAATGGATGTGATGGCTTTGGTCTGCCAATGGATGTGATGGCTTTGGTCTGCGAATGGATGTGATGGCTCAGGTCTGTGAATGGACGCGATGGCTCAGGTCTGCGAATGGATGTGATGGCTCAGGTCGGGAAATGGACGCGATGGCTCAGGTCGGGAAATGGACGCGATGGCTCGGGTCTGTGAATGGACGCGATGGCTCGGGTCTGTGAATGGACGCGATGGCTCGGGTCTGTGAATGGACGCGATGGCTCGGGGCTTTGAATGGACGCGATGGCTCGGGTCTGTGAATGGACGCGATGGCTCGGGTCTGTGGATGGACGCGATGGCTCGGGTCTGTGGATGGACGCGATGGCTCGGGTCTGTGGATGGACGCGATGGCTCGGGTCTGTGAATGGACGCGATGGCTCGGGTCTGTGAATGGACGCGATGGCTCGGGTCTGTGATGGATGGCTCGGGGACGCGCGATGGCTCGGGTCTGTGAATGGACGCGATGGCTCGGGTCTGTGAATGGACGCGATGGCTCGGGTCTGTGAATGGACGCGATGGCTCGGGTCGGGGAATGGACGCCATGGCTCGGGTCGGGGAATGGACGCCATGGCTCTGGTCTGTGAATGGACGCGATGGCTCTGGTCTGTGAATGGACGCGATGGCTCGGGTCGGGGAACGGACGCGATGGCTCGGGTCTGTGAACGGACGCGATGGCTCGGGTCTGTGAACGGACGCGATGGCTCGGGTCTGTGAACGGACGCGATGGCTCGGGTCTGTGAACGGACGCGATGGCTCGGGTCTGTGAACGGACGCGATGGCTCGGGTCTGTGAACGGACGCGATGGCTCGGGTCTGTGAACGGACGCGATGGCTCGGGTCTGTGAACGGACGCGATGGCTCGGGTCTGTGAACGGTCACGATGGCTCGGGTCTGTGAATGGACGCGAGCCATCGCGTCCGTTCACAGACCCGAGCCATCGCGTCCGTTCACAGACCCGAGCCATCGCGTCCGTTCACAGACCCGAGCCGATGGCTTAGCTCGGGCAATGGAGACCTGGATAGTCGGCATCTGCTGTGTGCGGCAACATATGTCGATGGTCTGCTTAGTTGTGTTGCTATAATCCTAGATGCCTGAGTGGAGTGGGAAACATTTGGGGGTCAGGGGTTAGAATGGGGGAGCCAGAGGACCTCCAGTGATAATAGGGAAGGGTAATAAAGGAGTCAGTTGTAGTTAATTGGGCGTTTGGGGTCAGCACCATGTATCCTGATAGGGTTCAGGGATCCTTCCTAAAATATATCTGGATGTCTATGTAGGTGATTGACTGACAGATCTCTGCCACCGTCTCTGCTTATTCCATGAAGTCTCGTCTCTTCCAGATCCGAGGAGTGACTCCGTCCTGAAGGAACTGCCAGCCACCTTCTTCTGCCCCTCAGTGCTGCTGCCCGGCCCCTGCACCCCTCTCCATGTCCCCTCCGAGCACTGTGCGTGCAACGCAATGTGTGTTTGTCAAACCATGGAAGTGGGGAAGTGCGGCAAGAGCGCGGTGTGCGACAGGGGCCGGGGGGTCCTGCTGGAACCATTCATCCATCAGGTGGGGGGACACAGCAGTATGATGCGCTATGACGACCACACAGTGTGCAAACCTCTCATTCCTCGGGAGCAGCGCTTCTACGAATCCCTACCGCCTGAAATGAAGGAATTCACACCCGAATATAAAGGTGAGCAACGATCGTTTTCTGTGTACTGATATGTTACACCGATCCCTCCTCTGTCTCTGTACACCGATCCCTCCTCTGTCTCTGTACGCCGATCCCTCCTCTGTCTCTGTACGCCGATCCCTCCTCTGTCTCTGTACGCCGATCCCTCCTCTGTCTCTGTACGCCGATCCCTCCTCTGTCACTTTACTCTGCTATAATTTATTTAGTCTCTGTGCTCTGATCTCCTACCCTCTTCCTGTCTCTGTGCATTGATATCCACTCCTCTTCCTCTGCACCCGTGCCGCCCCACCTCTGCCTCTGCACCCGGGTCGCCCCTCCTCTGCCTCTGCACACACGTCACCCCTTCCTCTGCACACACATCACCCCTTCCTCTGCACACACGTCACCCCTTCCTCTGCCTCTGCACCCGGGTCGCCCCTCCTCTGCCTCTGCACACACGTCACCCCTCCTCTGCCTCTGCACACACGTCACCCCTTCCTCTGCACACGGGTCACCCCTTCCTCTGCCTCTGCACACACGTCACCCCTTCCTCTGCACCCGGGTCGCCCCTCCTCTGCCTCTGCACACACGTCACACCCCACCCCTTCCTCTGCACACACGTCACCCCTTCCTCTGCACACACGTCACCCCTTCCTCTGCCTCTGCACCCGGGTCGCCCCTCCTCTGCCTCTGCACACACGTCACCCCTCCTCTGCCTCTGCACACACGTCACCCCTTCCTCTGCACACGGGTCGCCCCTCCTCTGCCTCTGCACACACGTCACCCCTCCTCTGCCTCTGCACACACGTCACCCCTTCCTCTGCACACACGTCACCCCTTCCTCTGCACACGGGTCACCCCTTCCTCTGCCTCTGCACCCGGGTTGCCCCTCCTCTGCCTCTGCACACACGTCACCCCTCCTCTGCCTCTGCACACACGTCACCCCTTCCTCTGCACACGGGTCACCCCTTCCTCTGCCTCTGCACCCGGGTCGCCCCTCCTCTGCCTCTGCACACACGTCACCCCTCCTCTGCCTCTGCACACACGTCACCCCTTCCTCTGCACACGGGTCACCCCTTCCTCTGCTTAAGCGTCGCCTCTCCTCTGCACATGCACCTGGGCTGCCCCTCCTCTGCCTCTGCACTTGGGTCACCCCTCCTCTGCCTCTGCACCCGGGCTGCCCCTCCTCTGCCTCTGCACCCGGGTCGCCCCTCCTCTGCCTCTGCACCCGGGTCGCCCCTCCTCTGCCTCTGCACCCGGGTCGCCCCTCCTCTGCCTCTGCACACACGTCGCGCCCCCTCCTCTGCCTCTGCACACATGTCGCGCCCCCTCCTCTGCACACGGGTCACCCCTTCCTCTGCTCACACGTCGCCCCTCCTCTGTCTCTGCACCCGGGTCGCCCCTCCTCTGCCACTGCACACGCGTCGCCCCTCCTCTGCCACTGCACACGCGTCGCCCCTCCTCTGCCACTGCACACGCGTCGCCCCTCCACGCGTCGCCTCTGCCACTGCACACGCGTCGCCCCTCCTCTGCCACTGCACACGCGTCGCCCCTCCTCTGCCTCTGCAAGTTGATCGGTCAGCTGAGCCTGGAGAAAGTCACTGCATATGTGAAATAAACACTTTGTCTCCTGAGGTTGCTGTGTGACGCAGTGTGCCCTCTCCTCTCCTGTGCAGGCGTTGTGTCGGTCTGCTTTGAAGGTGACAGTGACGGATACATCAATCTTGTTGCCTACCCCTACGTGGAGAACGAGACTGTGGACAACGAGGAACTTCTTCCAGAAAGGGACCACCCAAGGCGCAAGCACTCTCGCCGTGGCCTGCACCGCACTAACAGCACCACTTCCAGCACGGACCACAAAGAAGAGCGCCCAACTCTGAGCACAGAGAATTCAGAAAGGTCAGAGAGGCTTCCATCTCATAGGATGAGGAGGGAGGATCTGTGTCTGTATTGGGTGTTAGGCGCTGTTTCTTCAAAACAAGGGCTCATTGACCTTTGTAGCTGCAGGTACTGTGAAGAAATTCATCTTAAGAAGAAGATTTGTTGAATTCCTGCTGGGAGTGGGGAACAGGGCGACCTGAGCTTCTTAGTCACTGATAGGAAATGGAGCTGAAATGCTGAGACGGGGGAGCAGGTTGAGCTGTAACATGCACACGCAACCGGGGGAGGATAGCACACGCAAGACACCTCTGCTCCTCCTCCTCCACAGGAAATTGCCAGCAACCACCGCTGTCGGGGAGCCGCTGTCAATCACTTCCCCTGGAGGAGGAGCAGGGGCGTCTTATATATGTTGTCTGAACAATGTTTCCATGCCAATGCAGGCACTGTCATCCCAAATTTTATGAATGAAGGAGTACGCACAGGGGCGGACTGACAACTCATGGGGCCCCCAGGCAATAGGGAATCATGGGGCCCCTGTGTCCTCACCCACACCCAAAAAAAACTATGAAAAAGACAATGAAAGGTACCAGGGTCATTCATGGGTTTCCCTACTGACCCCGGGCCTTCGGGCAGTGCCCGAGTGCTCAAATGGTCAGTCCGCCCCTGAGTACGCATACGCCGTAATGCTGATGCATGAATAGTAATGAGATCATGCGTCCATTACTTGACCAGAAGTTGGGGGAAGCAGCACAGAGGAAGCAGAAGGATGAAGAAAAAGATAAAAATGTAACTTTACCAGGACTCAGTAAGGATGCGACCAATTGGATCTGATTCTGTACACCAAGGGAAACTGACATTGTTCTTCAGAAACCGGAAGCGATGAGAATTTTGTCACTTCCCGCTTCGGTTTCAAGTGAACGCATCTGATCAGACTGATCCCTATATGATCAGATGTTTTTGGGGGACAGATGAGAGGCCTGGAGTATAATAGACCCCAGATTCTCTCCATAAAGAGGACCTGTTACAGCCCATGTCAACACAAGGGATGTCGTTCATCCTTTGTGATAGCAGCGAACTTGATCCAAAAAAAATAAATAAATGAAAACTCCCCCATGCGTTTATAAAGCAAAAAAAGACCGATTTTGAAAAAAAAAAAACCAAAACAATATTTTTGACTTTTTGCTATTAACCGCATGCCGGCCAGCCACTGTACATATACGGCGGCAGGGCGGGACTCACAGGCAAAACGATGTTTAAAAACGTACGTTTTGCAAACAAATAGGGGGCGCGCGCGAGGCGCCTCCGCCCTATTTGTCCTGTGGATCACCGCAGCAGATGTCAGTTGCCGGGTCACAGCCGCTCGTCAGCGGCTATGTCCCGGCGATCGGCGGTAAACGGTGACAGAGAGCACAGCTGCAGTAGCTGTGCTGTCTGTCACCTCTCTGTCAGCTCAAGGATGAGCTGATCGAGACAGAATAGTTTCACTTTCTCGATCAGCCTTGTCCCGCCCAGTACACACCCCGCCCCCTAGTAAAACACTCCCCCTCACTCAGATAACCCTTCCCTGCAAAATAAAGTTAACCCCTTCCTCCCCAGTGCCATTAGTACAGTGTCAGTGTTTTTTTTTTTTTTTTTTGCACTGATCACTGTATTAGTGTTTTTGGGGATGTCAGTGACCCCAAGTTAGTACCCCCCAATGTCAGAATGTCCGCTGCAGTCCCGCCATAATTCGCTGATCGCCGCCATTATTAGTATAAAAAAAACCCTAGAAATCCCAGTATCTTTCCCGCCATTTGTAAACGCTATAACTTTCACGTAAACCAATTAATTTACACGTATTGTTTTTTTTTTTTTTAGCAAAGACATGTCGCAGAATGCATTTTGGCAGAAATTTATGACTAAATTTGATTTTTGCATTTTTTTTACAGCACATGTTTTATCGCAAAAAGTCCAAAATATTGTTTTTTTTTTCCTCAAAATTATCAGCCTTTTTTTTTTTTATAGCGCAAAAAATAAAAACCGCACAGGCAATCAAATACCACCAAAAGAAAGCTCAATTTGTGGGGGGGAAAAAAGGATGTAAATTTCATTTATGTACCGTATTGCATGACCGCGCAATTGTCCATTAACCACTTCCAGACCGGACACTTTTACCCCCTTCCTGACCAGGGCAATTTTCAGCTTTTAGCGCTATCACACTTTGAATGACAATTGCGCGGTCATGCAACACTGTACCCAAATGAATTTTTTACCATTTTTTTTTAGATAGATAAAGCTTTATTCTGGTGGTATTTATTCACCACTGGGATTTGTATTTTTTTTGCTATGTAAACGAAATGTCCAAAAATTAAAAAAAAAAGTGTTTTTTTAATAAAATTTTGCAAATAAATAATATTTCATCATAAATCTTAGCCAAAATGTATTCCGTTATCTTTTTAGTAAAAAAAAAAAAAATCCAAATTAGTTTATAAGCAAAAATTATAATTTTTAAACATTTTTTTTTACATTTTTTTTTATTTTTTTTTTTTATTATTATTTTTTTATTTTTATTTTTATTTTTTTTACATACTGTCACCCTAACAGTACAGTGTCACCATGGTACTACTTGTGAGGGGTGATAAAGATTTTTTTTTTTTTTTTTTTACACACTGATTGCTTTTACACCCATATAGGATGTAAAAGCAATCATTTCTCTTTCTCTCTGGCTGCATTCTTGCACTCATTGAGAAATACAGAGTGAGCTGTGATTGGTCACAGCTTGTCACATGGTACAAGGCTTTTGTGAATAGCCTTGTACCATGTGACCTCTGTGATCATTCACAGATTTCACACATAGTAAGCGATGATGTCAGAAGTGACATCTTGCTTACTACTTTGCATGTGATCACTAATTTGGCTAATCAGTGATCACATGATCGGGACCTCGTACAGAGGTCCCGTCCGACGATCGGTGTTTCACTGTGTCCGGAGGACACAGCGGGCACCGGATCGCGGTGCTGCGCGCTCCCAGGGAGCGCGCACAAGCAGGGTGCGGGGAGGCCGTTTATAGATGGCCACCCGACCCTGCACTGCCACCGTCCGGCCGTTTATATACAAGGGCCGGTCAGGAAGTGGTTAAACTAGCGCAGCGCTGTATAGCAGAAAAATGGCGTAAATTGCAGTATCTCTCCCATAGTTTGTAGACGCTATAACTTCCACACAAAGCAATCAATATACACTTATTGGGATTTTTTTACCAAAAACATGGAGCAGAATACATTTTGGCCTAAATTTATAACCAACTTTGAGTTTACTATATATTTTTTATAGCTGAAAGTAAAAAATATCGTTTTTATTCAAAATTTTTGGCCTTTTTTTGTTTATAGCGTGAAAAATAAAAAGCGCACAGGTGATCAAATTACACCGAAAGAAAGTTCTATTTGTGTGAAAAAAAGGACGTAAATTTTGTTTGGGTGCAGCATTGCATGACCGCGCAATTATCAGTTGAATTAGTGCAGCGCCAAGTAGCAAAAGAGGCGTGGTCATTAAGGGGGGTAAATCCTCTGGAGGTCAAGTGGTTAAATATGTCCAGTAAAAAAATTTAAGAAACAAATTTCGGCATAAATTTAGGTCATAATGTACTCTGCTTCATGTCTTAAAAAAAAAAAAGAAAAATCCCAATACGTGTAAATTAATTGGTTTACGTGAAAGTTATAGCGTTTACAAATGGCGGTATACTGGGATTTTTAAAAAAAGTTTTATCTTTTTTTTTTTTTTTTACTAGTAATGGCGGCGATCAGTGACTTATAGCAGGACTGCGGCAGGCATTCTGACACTGGGGGGGAACTGACTTGGTGTCACTGACATCCCCAGTGACACCAGTACAGCGATCAGTGCTAATAAAAAGCACTGACACTGGGCAGGAAGGGGTTAACATCTGGGGTGATCACAGGGTTACCTGTGTGCTGTTTTACTATGTTGGCTGTGTGTGTGCTTCACTGTAAGCATTCTGCTTTGTATGGCTCTGCTATGCAGTGTTACGGAGTGTTCAGGAGCTGACGGGAGAGATCTGTGTTGTTTTATACACAGGTCTCTCCCACGTCAGTAATACTCGGCGATCACCGGGTGCCGGCAGGGAATCACTGAGCAGCTGGGACCTGGTGATTGACAGCCGAGGCCGAGGATGGCGGGACGGGTAGGGCGCATGCGCATCCCCTACCTCGAAATGCAAAATCACGTGTATATTTATATATGTGTCTGTGTGTGTGTGTGTATGTATATATAATATGTGATTTTGCGCACCCGTGCCGCCCTGTAGCAGTATTTCTGCTATAGGGCAGCGAGGAAGAGGTTAAAGTGTCGCCTATGGAGATTTTTAGGTACTGTCGTTTTGGCGCCGTTCTAACAGCATACGCAGTTTTGAAACGTGACATGTTGGGTATCTATTTACTCGGTGTAATATCATCTTATCTTTTATCAAACAATTGAATATTGTATTGTGTTTGTGTAACATTTAAGAATTATTATTTTTCTTGGAAATTTGCATTTCATAAATCGTTGCACAAATATCACGCGATATATATATATATATATATAGAGAGAGAGAGAGGAGAGAGATTTTATTCTCTAGGCTCTCTGCATAAAACAATATAAAATGTGTAGGTCATTATTTATTTTTTTATTTTTTTTAGGTTTTTTTTTTTTAGCAAAATAGTGCTGATTTTTTTTTTTTCACGTGTTTGAAAGAAATGTCAGGATTGGCTCCAGCTGCCGTAAAAGGGTTAAATAATATTTTATCTCTGTGTCTATCGCAGATTCATATTTTTTGTGTGGCCGTCAGTAGAAGTTGTAGGGTTTTTTTTTTTTTTTTTTTTTTTCCTTCGAATGACTTGTCCTAATTCTCCGCAGCGTCCCTGAGATGAAAAGCCCCAAGCTAGAGCTGATGAACCAATCAGACGTCCCCTTCCAGATGCTGGATGGCAATAGCGGGCTCAGCTCAGAGCGGATCAGCTACAACCCCTGGAGCCTGCGCTGTCACAAGCAGCAACTCAACCGCATGCGCTCGGAATCGAAGGAGCGCAAGCTGTACAGTATCCTTCCCCGTGTGGCGTCCTCGCTCCTCTCTTGCAGCGCTGGTAACGCTCCGTCATTTTTTGTTGTGATAACTTAACTCTGCGCTCCCAGAATTCCTGCTTCTCGAGAACGTCGTGCACCACTTTAAGTTCCCGTGCGTGCTGGACTTGAAGATGGGAACGCGGCAGCACGGCGACGACGCCTCGGAGGAGAAGGCGGCCAGGCAGATGATGAAGTGTGAACAGAGCACGTCTGCCACGCTGGGCGTGAGAGTGTGCGGCATGCAGGTAAACGCACGGACCGCCGCTTCATTGTGTAACAAAATGCAATGGAGGTGCAAGTAGGGACAGGCAATGGGGCCCATTTCTAAAGGCTGAAATGAATGTAGTTGCTGTGGCATGCAGATCGTTGTGCTGCCCTCCCGTAGTCGCTGTGACATGCAGATCGTTGTGCTGCCCTCCCGTAGTCGCTGTGGGTTGCAGATCGTTGTGCTGCCCTCCCGTAGTCGCTGTGGGTTGCAGATCGTTGTGCTGCCCTCCCGTAGTCGCTGTGGCATGCAGATCGTTGTGCTGCCCTCCCGTAGTCGCTGTGGCATGCAGATCGTTGTGCTGTCCTCCCGTAGTCGCTGTGACATGCAGATCGTTGTGCTGCCCTCCCGTAGTCGCTGTGACATGCAGATCGTTGTGCTGCCCTCCCGTAGTCGCTGTGGGTTGCAGATCGTTGTGCTGCCCTCCCGTAGTCGCTGTGGGTTGCAGATCGTTGTGCTGCCCTCCCGTAGTCGCTGTGGGATGCAGATCGTTGTGCTGCCCTCCCGTAGTCGCTGTGGCATGCAGATCGTTGTGCTGCCCTCCCGTAGTCGCTGTGGCATGCAGATCGTTGTGCTGCCCTCCCGTAGTCGCTGTGACATGCAGATCGTTGTGCTGCCCTCCCGTAGTCGCTGTGGGTTGCAGATCGTTGTGCTGCCCTCCCGTAGTCGCTGTGACATGCAGATCGTTGTGCTGCCCTCCCGTAGTCGCTGTGGGTTGCAGATCGTTGTGCTGTCCTCCCGTAGTCACTGGGGCATGCAGATCGTTGTGCTGCCCTCCCGTAGTCGCTGTGGCATGCAGATCGTTGTGCTGCCCTCCCGTAGTCGCTGTGGGATGCAGATCGCTGTGCTGCCCTCCCGTAGTCGCTGTGGGATGCAGATCGCTGTGCTGCCCTCCCGTAGTCGCTGTGGGATGCAGATCGTTGTGCTGCACTCTGCTGTCAGTCATGTTGAAGAAGTCGATCTCTTTCAGACGATGACGGGGCTTCTGCTGTCTGTAAGAAGTGGCTGTGTTGCTTATATAAAGAGGGAAATATGAATCTGTTCTGTGAGCAGAGGAGACATTTCTGTGCAATGGCAGACACATCAAAATGTCGGATTGCCAGTTTACTAGCAGCAGAGATGTCACCCCTTCCTATTTGGGGAACAGTGATGTCACCCCTTCCTATTTGGGGAACAGTGATGTCACCCCTTCCTATTTGAGGAGCAGTGATGTCACCCCTTCCTATTTGAGGAGCAGTGATGTCACCCCTTCCTATTTGGGGAGCAGTGATGTCACCCCATCCTATTTGGGGAGTAGTGATGTCACTCCTTTCTATTTTAGGAGCAGTGATGTCACCCCATCCTATTTGGGGAGTAGTGATGTCACTCCTTCCTATTTGGGGAGCAGTGATGTCACCCCTTCCTATTTGGGGAGCAGTGATGTCACCCCATCCTATTTGAGGAGCAGTGATGTCACTCCTTCCTATTTGGGGAGCAGTGATGTCACCCCATCCTATTTGGGGAGCAGTGATGTCACCCCATCCTATTTGGGGAGCAGTGATGTCACCCCATCCTATTTGGGGAGCAGTGATGTCACCCCATCCTATTTGAGGAGCAGTGATGTCATCCCTTCCTATTTGGGGAGCAGTGATGTCACCAATTCCTATTTGGGGAGCAGTGATGTCACCCCTTCCTATTTGGGGAGCAGTGATGTCACCCCTCATATTGGAGAAACAGCAATGTCATCCCTCATAATTGGGGACCAGTGATGTCATCTCTCATAATCGGAGAGCATAGAGGTCACCTCTATTGATTGGGGAGCAGGGATATTACCCCTCATAGTTTGGGGGTAGAATTGTCATCCCTCATATTTGGGGAGCAGTAATTCATTAAGCAGCAGTGCAGTTCTTTTCTCATACTAAAGGACCAGTGATCTCATCCCATACATTTGTGAAGCATAGAAATGTCTCTCCCCACCCTTTCATTTTTGGGGAGCAGTTAAGCCACCCTCTCATATTTGGGCAGCAGTGATGTCATCCCTCATATTGGAGAAACAGCAATGTCTTCCCTCATAATTGGGGAGCAGTGATGTCATCTCTCGTATTAAGGGAGAAGTGATGGTCTTGGGCAGGATGTCCTCCTTATTTGGAGCTTCAGTTATGGACGTTTCTGAGGACTGTTTGTGCTGCTCCCAGTTTCAGGGTTCTGATCTGGTAAAATATGACCTATCTATATATATATATATATATATATATATATATATATATATATATATATATATATATATATATATTAGTGCAGGAAGGTGAATATTGACATGTACACATCCTGATCGATTTCTGACTTTGTATTCAGGCCTTGTTCTCATTTGTCCTTTGTTCTTTCCTCAGGTCTTCCAGATGAACACAGGACATTACCTGTGCCTGAACAAGTACTATGGTCGGGGCCTCAGTGCTGAGGGCTTCAGACAAGCGCTCTACCAATATCTTCACAACGGCAATCAGCTTCGCGTGGACCTGTTTGAGCCCATCCTGAGCAAACTGCAGCGATTGATCTCCGTCCTGGAAATGCAGGCGTCCTATCGGTTCTATTCCAGCTCCCTCCTGATCATCTACGACGGCATAGATCACCCCAGGAGTGCCGATCCGCTCTCCCTGGAGCCACCACCCAACGTAGATGTCAGAATGATAGACTTCGCCCATAGCACCTTCAAGGGCTTCCGCGACGACCCGAAAGTGCACGACGGGCCGGACAAAGGTTACGTCCTGGGCCTGCGAAGCCTGATCAGTATTCTGGAGCTCATCCGAGACGACAACCAGTAGCGGGAAGAAGTCTCGGCACTCCTATCACTAGTGACCAGAAGAAGCTCCATGCAGAACGGCCTGTCCACCCTCCGTATGTTCCACACCAAACCACGCGGGTGACATTCCGCGCTGAACAGCATCCCTTTTGGCATCCATTTTTGGTTTCGGCCAAACAAAACTTGGGAACCCTTGTAACCGCGGAAGAGGGGAAGCCTGCGGGCGCCGCATGCCGGAGCTCGCCACGAACTCTTTGTGTTTTTACCAACACACAAATATAGAGAAATTAAAATTCCTTTTTTGTTTTTGCCTTCGTTTCCAGAACTGAACCAGCGGACAGCCGGTGGTCCTTGAAGTGTTTTGCCAGTTGGGCAGCCGGCGGTTCTCGACAGGAAGTGACATCACTTCTGACATGCTGTAGCTCTGACGATGCGCAGAGAGTGGGGGGGGGGTGCTGCGTATTAATTTTGGGTGTTCTCCCCTCCCCCCCATTATCTGAGAGACATCCTCTATTTGTGGCCTCATTCCACAATGACAGAAATGTATATATTTATATTCCTATATAAATATACATCTATAAAGACACTCCTATATATATATATCAGATAAAATCTATATATTAGAGCTATATTATTCCCGCTTGTCTGCGTGCAATTTCCCCCCCCCCCCCCCCCCCAGCTCCCCTATTCAGAATGGACGGGGGTTTAAACACTTTTTTTTTTTTTTTTTTTCACCATCAGACACCTTTTATGGTTTACAACGCACAGGGCGGAGCTTATGATTGGCACCACCCCTTTGGTGTATTCATGATAAACATGGTTGCCGACCAGCCTTCGAGCGCATGATGTAGCTAGCGGGTGGAGGTACACGATGTAGCATGCATGTTCCAGACGTTTCGTCTGCGTCTTTGTCATGAATAAGCTTTATTATTATTTTTTTATTATTATTATTATTTCTGAGGTGTCTCGAGAATCACACAATTTGATAAAAAAAAAAAAAAAAAAAAGCCAAAATCTGCACTTCAACCTCAAACCTGTGTTTTGTGTTCTGCTGCTACGGACAGGAAGGGGGCGCTGCACCGCGTATCGCGGTCCTCCCCCCCCCCCCCCCCCCCCCCCACCCCCACCCCGTTCTGTATAATCAAAGCAAACGATTTTCTTTTGTGTGTTGTTTCTGATTTTACAATGTCACCACTTTAGGGAAGCCTTAAAGCGGACCCGGCCTCCAGGACGCTGAATCTGGGTTTTAATCGCCGACATTGCGCTTTTGCGATTGGCTGAAACTTGGCTCGGCCACGGGGACATCTACGTGTTGGTTTGAACCACAATTCTTCCTAAGGAAGATGAAGCACGGGACGATAGTCTGCTGATGCTCCGGGAGCTCCGTCCGGTTTTAAGTACATCCTGTCGAAGGGGTTGGCTGGTCTCAGATTGGTGACTCCGCCTCCTGCGGCCTGTGTTCTCAGGAAGACGTTGGCTCCCGGTCAGTTAAAGGGATCTGTCGCAAAAGCTGAACATTTTGTCTGCACTTGTTTTTCAGAGTTCAGGAGCCATCCGGTATCGTGACGTTTATGCCGCGGGCCATATAAACTGATATTTCACAGGTTATCCGAAAACAAAATGTGTGTGAGAAGCCTCAAAAGGAAGCTGACACTCGGATTCCAAAGCCGTAAGTGATGTCACTGCCTCAAGGTCGCACGCGCGCCCCCTTCCCCGTGTGGGTGACATGTACTGTAAAACTTGTAGCAGGAGCCAGGCCATTATTGGCTTCCGTCTCAAGGCTTCTCACACAGGCATTTTGTTCTGTGACAGGTCAAAGCAATGGCGTGTAGGGAAATTCAGTGCTGCTCTCGGATGAAAAGTAACAACCTGAGCTCATTGTTGTCAATCATTTTATGTTCAGTAAATGTTTCATGTGTGGAACTGGCCAACTCCTCACATTCGAACCAAAGGGAAATGGCGCCTGTGTGTCTCGTTCTAGAGAAGGAGGAGGGGAGGGGTTTGCTGGGCATTCTGGTTTGTTGTTCCTCCAGCTGGTGCTGTTGGGTCTCCTCCGGGGATGCTGTGTCTGAGGATCATTGCCAGTAGCAACTGTTACATAGTCACAGCGCCACTCAATGCTGTAGACGATGAGCCGGACACGTCTCCCTCGCGCTGATTTGGAGATCATGTTCATCTTTTTTTTTTTTTTTTTTTTTCCCTTTATTAGCATGTTTAGTTTTTGGGGTTTGGGGGCATTGAAGTCACTGGGCAAAGAGCGATCCACCGGATTCAAAGAGATCCAGGGTTCCAGCATGACCTGCTAGAGCAGCCTTTCTCAACCTTTTTACCCCAGAGGGGGAGCCTTGAAATCTTCTCATTCGGAAACCCCCACTAAACTTTTTATCTGTAGCTTATGGTACATTGGCAAGATTGGTTGGTTATATGTAAAACCATAAATGGATGAAACATATGCCCCTTATCATGGCGGTTGGCAGTAAGAATGCCCCTTCCATTGGTGGCCAGTGGGAAGAATGCCCCTTCCATTGGTGGCCAGTGGGAAGAATGTCCCTTACATTGTTGGTCAGTGGGAAGAATGTCCCTTACATTGGGGGTCAGTGGGAAGAATGTCCCTTACATTTGTGATCAGTGGGAAGAATGTCCCTTACATTGGTGGTCAGTGGGAAGAATGTCCCTTACATTGGGGGTCAGTGGGAAGAATGCTCCTTACATTGATGATCAGTGGGAAGAATGCCCCTTACATTGGTGGTCAGTCGGAAGAATGCCCCTTATGTTGGTGGTCAGTGGAAAGAATGGTCCTTACATTGCCAGGTTGGTGGAAAAATGTCCCTACAAGGGTATTGGTCAGTGGAAGAATTCCACTTACATTGGTGGTAAGGGGGGCATTCTTCCCACTGACCAGCAATGTAAGGAGCATTCTTCCTGCCGATCACTAAAGTAAGAGAAAAATTCTTCTCACTGATCACCGCCATTGTAGGGACACTCTTTCCACTGGCCACCAATGTAAGGAGCGTTCTTCCCACTGACCCCCCCATTTAAGCGACATTCTTCCCATTGACCACCAGTGTAGGGAGCATTCTTCCTACTGACAACCAATGTAGGGAGCATTCTTCCCACTGACCGCCAATGTAAAGGACATTCTTCCCACTGACCACCAGTGTAGGGAGCATTCTTCCCAAAGACCACCAATGTAAGGGACATTCTTCCCACTGACCCCAATGTAAGGAGCGTTCTTCCCACTGACCCCCAATGTAAGGAGCGTTCTTCCCACTGACCCCCCATGTAAGGAGCATTCTTCTCACTGACCACCAATGTAAAGGACATTCGTTGCAATGACCACTAAAGTAAGGGGAACATTCTTCCCACTGACCACCAATGTAAGGGGCATTCTTCCCGCTGACCACCAATGTAAGGGGCATTCTTCCCACTGACCACCAATGTAAGGGGCATTCTTCCCACTGACCACCAATGTAAGGGGCATTCTTCCCACTGACCACCAATGTAAGGGGCATTCTTCCCACTGACCACCAATGTAAGGGGCATTCTTCCCACTGACCACCAATGTAAGGGGCATTCTTCCCACTGACCACCAATGTAAGGGGCATTCTTCCCACTGATCACCAATGTAAGGGACATTCTTCCCACTGACCCCCAATGTAAGGGACATTCTTCCCACTGACCTCCAATGTAAGGAACATTCTTCCCACTGACCTCCAATGTAAGGAACATTCTTCCCACTGACCGCCAATGTAAGGGACATTCTTCCCACTGACCGCCAATGTGAGGGCCATTCTTCCCACTGACCGCCAATGTGAGGGCCATTCTTCCCACTGACCGCCAATGTGAGGGCCATTCTTCCCACTGACCGCCAATGTGAGGGCCATTCTTCCCACTGACCGCCAATGTGAGGGCCATTCTTCCCACTGACCGCCAATGTGAGGGCCATTTTTCCCACTGACCGCCAATGTGAGGGCCATTCTTCCCACTGACCGCCAATGTGAGGGCCATTCTTCCCACTGACCGCCAATGTGAGGGCCATTCTTCCCACTGACCGCCAATGTGAGGGCCATTCTTCCCACTGACCGCCAATGTGAGGGACATTCTTCCCACTGACCGCCAATGTGAGGGACATTCTTCCCACTGATCGCCAATGTGAGGGACATTCTTCCCACTGACCGCCAATGTAAGGGACATTCTTCCCACTGATCGCCAATGTAAGGGACATTCTTCCCACTGCTAGGTAGTGTTGGCCTCAGAACTATGCAGACACCATCACGTTAAAGGTCAATCTGCCAATCCTCAAGGGACCCCTCTGGAGGAACCCTGGTTGAGAATGGCTGTGTTATAGCATGCTGGGAGCTGTAGTTCCTTGGCACTTGAGAGTAAAAGGTTACCAAGCCTTGTGCAAAGATCCTGCTGTCCTCGCTGCAGTATTTGTTTTAGTCCTAGTGCACCTGAAGGGGGCAGTACCGATCATTGTGGACAACAGGCGCTCTATTATGGTGGAGTTCTTTATATTACTTTTAGGCATCATTTGTATTGTCATTACAGCAGGTAGAACTGTGTTCAGTTCGGGGTGAGCAGTACTGATACCTGTGTATGAAAATTGTGTACAAAGAAATGACGGGTCTGCTCGATGGAGGCATTATAAGAGGGTGGGAGATATTCGATGCCACTTATATCAGTTCTGTGTATTTCCGTATGAGCCTGGAGCAGGTACAATACATGCAAGTCCTGCGCCGTATGAAAAGCCATATCCAGCACTTGTATGTCACAGCCAGCTTATTGTCATTTTATTCTGCAATGTGAGAAGTGTCGTCATTATTATTATTCCTTTGTTAGGCAATCCTGCTGATTCCCAGTACCGTATTGCTGATGCCAGTGTGATGAGATTGCGAGGTCTATGGGCGGCCACCATTGTGAATGAGCCCAGATGCTTTAGCAGTGTTTTTCCAGGAGCAAATGAGGGCTGTGTGAGGTCTGAGTCCTTATCTGAAAGCAATTGAGCTGAATTGGTGGTTATAGGTGGAGGTGTTGTAGATACAAAACAGAATACATGCCTACGCCTTTCCCCAACAACCGTGGTTTCAGATGAGGGCTCAGATGGCAACACAGACCTCCTCTGGATAATTGTGAGCTGAGGGCTGTTGATGCCTGAACAGCCCCAAAAGACAATACTTCCTTTATTCTTTTGAATGGATTGGGGTAAGTTAGAACTTTTTGTCGGGTTTATATTGCTGCCTGTGCCCCCCACTAAGGAAGTTTTATGCTTTTTTTTTTCCCTCCTCAGTCATCTTCCAGGACAGCCCAGGAGACAGAGCTCCCAACAGGTTAGAAAACGCGTTGCCAGGTGAAAGATTAAGATGAGGTCCTTCAGGCCCTATGCTCAGTTTTAGTGTTTCCTTCGTATGGAGAAGTGTTGCCTATGGAACCTGCCAGGCCAACAGTTAAAATGAGGACATTCAGGTTTTAGTGTTTCCTCTGTATGGAGGAGATGTGTTGCCCATGGAACATGCCAGGCCAAAGGTTAAAATGAGGACCTTCAGTCTCTCTCCTTGGTTTTAGTGTTTCTTCTGTATGGAGGAGACGTGTTGTCTATGGAACCTGCCAGGCCAACAGTTAAAATGAGGACCTTCAGGCTCTCTCCTTGGTTTTAGTGTTTCCTCTGTATGGAGGAGATGTGTTGCCTATGGAACCTGCCAGGCCAACGGTTAAAATGATATTCAGGCTCTCTCCTTGGTTTTAGTGTTTCCTCTGTATGGAGGAGACGTGTTGCCTATGGAACCTGCCAGGCCAACGGTTAAAATGAGGACCTTCAGGCTCTCTCCTTGGTTTTAGTGTTTCCTCTGTATGGAGGAGCCATGTTGCCTATGGAACCTGTCAGGTCAAAGGTTAATAAGAGGTCCTTCCCTCGGTTTTAGTGTTTCCTCCTCATGGAGGAGACGTGTTGCCTATGGACCCAGTGGTGGAGAGCTAGTCCCTGGGTTGTCCTGTTACATCTCGTTGCTGTGCCTGCCCTGAAGCTTCTCTGTCTTCAGTGCCTAGCGAAGGCCATGACCTGTGCTGCTGACCTCTCTCAATGGTCCTGGCAATGCATGGTGGAACGTTATGCGCTGCTGTGTCAGTGCCAGGATGTGGTGTTGAGGGAGGAGCATTCTTCCTGGTTGCAGAGGCAGGACTTACATGTTCTGCACTGCTTAACCACAAGAAGTGGGGTGTCATTTCTGGGTGGGGTGACATCATCACAGGGCCCTGGAGGACTCTATTCCAGGTCTCATTGGTGGTGCAGGTAGAAGAGAAAATGGTTTGCTGGTGTCTGCAGCGATCTTGCCTACCAGAGACTGTGGTCATGCTGCTTCAGGTTCCTTGCAGTAAGGGTGTGGTAGTACTGAAACAGGAAGCAAAAGGAAATCTCCCCAGCGGGGTCACAGACATCATTAAAGACCTGCAGGAGGTCCCCACTCTGCCCAAACCATAAGCAGTTGGGTGGTGTTCTCCTTTAAAAGCTTACACAGTGTTTGCACTTGGTGGTTGAGTGGTACATATCTGCAGTAATAAGGAGGGACACCCCCCTGTGGGTGAGGTCAGATTAGTACCTGCAAGACCGCATGTTTTATCCTGGGGGGGGTGCGCACAGATGTACATGAATCCCTTGATTCCGACCCCCTCCCCTTGCCCTGCTGTTAGACTGCGGACATATATTGCTTTTTATTAGTATCCAACCGCGGACGGGCGTGTCTGATACACGGCGAGTATTGTGATATTATCCATGTTACCGATCGTGTTCCTACGGTTTCTACGTGTTATGCTTTCTGTTGTGTGTTTTTTTTTTTTTTTTTGTTGTTGTTGTTGTTTTTTTTTAATTAAACAATATCCAAAATAAGCTTCTCCTGTGTGAAATTACTTAATTTATTCATCAGGTTGTTGCTGAGCCGTCTCATTGGATGATCGGAGTGGATGTGCGGGGCAGGGGTGACAACGTTTCCTTATATATGAAAGGTAGACTGTGCCTAGGATCGCACCATGTCCTGTTGTTGCCCAAAAAACGTAAGACTAGTTTAACTTTCCGGAAATTAAAGTCCACCTTCCAACTGAAGCTTTTTGTTTCATTTTAGGTTGAGCCTCTAGGTTTTTAGTGCCACTTGTGTTCCTATTGGGATCTTTCCCCTCCCCTCTCGCCAGGACAGGAAGTGATTGGACATACACTATATTGCCAACAGTATTGTTCCGCCTGCCTTCCCACGCACGTGAACTTTAATGACCTCCCAGTCTTAGTCTGTAGGGTTCAATATTGAGTTGGCCCCGCCCTTTCCACGCACGTCAACTTTAATGGCCTCCCAGTCTTAGTCTGTAGGGTTCAATATTGAGTTGGCCCCACCCTTTCCACGCACGTGAACTTTAATGGCCTCCCAGTCTTAGTCCGTAGGGTTCAATATTGAGTTGGCCCCGCCCTTTGCAGCTATAACAGCTTCAACTCTTCTGGGAAGGCCGTCCACAAGGTTTAGGAGGGTGTCTATGGGAAGGTTGGACCATTCTTCCAGAAGCACATTTGTCAGATCAGGCACTGATGTCGGGGGAGGAGGCCTGGCTCGCAGTCTCCGCTCAAATTCATCCCAAAGGTGTTCTATGGGTTTGAGGTCAGTCAAGTTCCTCCACCCCAAACTGGCTCCATGTCTTTATGGACCTTGCTTTGTGCACTGGTGGGCAGTCATGTTGGAACAGGAAGGGGCCACCCCCAAACTCTTCCCACAAAGTTGGGAGCATGAAATTGTCCAAAATGTCTTGGTATGCTGACATCGTAAGAGTTCCCTTCACTGGACATAAGGGGCCAAGCCCATCCCCTGAAAAACAACCCCCCCACCACCACCAAACTTTACACTTGGCACAATGCAGTCAGGCAAGTACCGTTCCCCTGGTAACTGCCAAGCCCAGGCACGTCCATCGGATTGCCAGACAAGTGTGATTCGCCACTCCAGAGAACATGTTTCCACTGCTCTGGAGTCCAGTGGCGGCGTGCTTTACACCACGGCATCTGACGCTTTGCATTGCACTTGGTGATGGAAGGCTTGGATGCAACTGCTCGGCCATGGAAACCTATTCCATGACGCTCTCTACGCACTGTTGTTGGGCTCATATGAAGGCCACACCAAGTTTGGAGGTCTTTAGCTATTGACTGCAGACAGTTGGCGACTTCTGCGCACTGTGCGCTTCAGCATGCGCTAACCCCGCTCTGTCATGTGACGTGGCCTACCACTTGGTGGCTGAGTTGCTGTTGTTCCCAGTTTCTTCCACTTTGTTATAATCCCACTAACAGTTGAGTGTGGAATATTTAGTAGTCAGGAAATGTCACAGATGGACTTATTGCCCAGGTGGCCACCTATCACGGGACCACGCTTGGAGTCACTGAGCTCCTGAGAGCGACCCATTCTTTCACCAATGTTTGTAGAAGCAGTCTGCATGCCTAGGGGCTTGATTGTATACACCTGTGTCCATGGAGGGGATTGGAAAATCTGAAGCCAATGATTTGGAGGGCGGGGACAATACTTTTGGCAATATAGTGTACCGCCAAGGCAGACATGGGCAAAAAACACAATGCAGAAGGGTTAGTCTGAAAAATGGAAAATTGTATCAAATACCTACCAAAATTTTCCTTTCCTGGTGCTAATCCATGGCAGCATACATTGGGGAGGGATTGGTGCTAGGAATAATTTTTACTGCTATCTGTGCCTTTCTGTCCTTTTGACAACCACTCCCTCTCTTCATTCTTCTACGGGTGTTACAGGGACAGGAAGTGAGGGGGAAAAAAAATCTCTTTGGGGTGATGGATAGTAATAATTTGTCTGACAGAAATTGTAACTTGTTCCCATTGTCCCATCAAACACTGCCCTGAGACATCCTCCATGGGGTGGGCCTGGCTTTGGTTCAGATCAGTCTGTAGTAGTTAAAGTATGGTAGAGCATACAGAAACCTTGTGTGACGAGCAGGCCCCGGGAACTAGAACTAGGATGAAATCAGGTTTTTGTTGTCCACGTTTGCCAAATATGTGAAAAGCTGCACTGCCACATCATGTCGCCTCTACAAAGTACGGCCCCCAACTCAAACTATTTGAGATCCCAACTACAGGACATATAAAGAATGTTTAACGTCTGTATTATCTAAACTCCCAACTATTGAGTGCTCCTCCACTGAAGCTTGCTCCATGAATGATGATCTACTCCTCCTCCAACAATGGTTCCAAGGGGGTCTTGCTTCCCCTCCGACCCTGGCCCCAAGAGAGATATGCCACTCCTCCTCCTCCAGTTATGGCCCCAAAAGGAACAGC